TTTWTWTTTTWTTTTTTATCGAAACAGCAATCTTTTTGTCCTCTTGCATTTTGCTTAAAAAACGAGATATTTCAGCTCGTCTAATGTGGGATTCTTTGATTAATTTATAAACAAATAATTTCTTCTATTTTGTTAACTAATCTTAGTTTTTGAGAAGTATTTAAATTTAAATTTAGCTAGTCTGTTGGGAGCCAAGACCAAAGTGGATTGCTGCCGTATTAAAACAACTCCAATCTGAAACATTTCATTGCGAATTTTGCGAACAGTAAAACCTTTCATGGTGACAGTTTTGCACTACACAGATTAAAAAAACAATTCATGTCTACATAAAGTTTTTCTTACAATTCATTTATAACTATCTACAATACATAAGATAATAATTGTTCATATCTTTTCCAYAAAGCCCAACTTCAAAGATTTAAACTATCACTTTTAAATTACAACATCAAAAGTCAGATTGTGTTCCTGAAATGAATAAAATACCTGTAGGTTACAAACATGATTAAATATTACTTTATGAACATCCTATAAGACGAGCATTAGCTATTCTAATACTTGCCGCTCAGTTATCGGGGAGATTTTAGCACCATCTGCTCAGTGGCTGATGTCAGCAGACCACACTGGTAATTAACAGGGTTGGACATTGAGGGATGGCGTGGATCGTTTTTCTTTTATACTCCCCATAAATGGTGCATTAATGGCTAAAATCTCAAGTGATTATTTTTCCCGTCCTGAGATAAAGCACCTCATTTTTTTTGAAAGACTTCACATTTTCTATTTCTTGTTTTCAAGGAACAYGTGTCACTTGAAATTTGATGAGATTTAAATATGATGATGTGATACAGCGGGTAAAATAAGTATTGAACACGTCAACATTTTTCTCAGTAAATACTGTATATTACTAGAGGTGCTAATGACATGAAATTTTCACCAGATGTTGGTAACAACCCATATGATCCATACATACAATGAAATCAAACCATAAATGTCCAGAAGTGAAGTTGTTTGTAATAATGTGGAATGGCACAGGGAAAAAGTATTGAACACACTTACTGAAATTGATCTAATACTTTGTACAAAAGCCTTTGTTGGCAATGACAGCTTCAGGATGCCTCCTGTATGGAGAAACTAGTGGCATGCATTGCTCAGGTGTGATTTTGGCCCATTCTTCCACACAAACAGTCTTCAAATCTTGAAGCTTTCATGGACCTCTTCTATGAACTCTGATCTTTAGTTCTTTCCATAGATTTTCTGTTGGATTCAGGTCAGGTGATTGGCTGGGCCATTCCAGCAGCTTTAGTTTCTTTCTCTGAAACCAACTGAGACTTTCCTTGACTTTGTGTTTGGGCTCATTGTTTTGCTGAAATGTCCAGCCACRTTTCATCTTCATCATCCTGGTAGATGGAAGCAGATTTTTATCAAGAATGTCTCTGTACATTTTTCCACTCATCCTTCCTTCAATTATTTGAAGTTTGCCAGTACCATATGCTGAAAAACAGCCCCACACCATGATGTTCCCACCTCCAAACTTCACTGTTGGTATGGTGTTTTTGGGCTGATGTGCAGTGCCATTTGACCTCCAAACATGATGTGTATTCTGGCATCCAAACAGTTCAATGTTGGTCTCATCTGACCAGATTATATTCTCCCAGTATTTCACAGGCTTGTCTAAATGTTGTGCAGCAAACTTTAAAGGAGCTTCAACATGCTGTTTCTTCAGCAGTGGAGTCTTACGTGGTGAGCGTGCATACAGGCCATGGTGGTTCAGTGCATTACTTATTGTTTTCTTTGAAACAATCGTACCTGCTAATTCCAGGTCTTTCTGAAGCTCTCCACAAGTGGTCCTTGGCTCTTGGACAACTCTTCTGRTAATTCTTTTCACTCCTCTGTCAGAAATCTTGCAAGGAGCRCCTGGTCGTGGTCGGTTTATGGTGAAATAATGTTCTTTCCACTTCTGAATTATGGCCCCAACAGTGCTCACTGGAACCTTCAGAAGTTTAGACATTCTTCTGTAACCGATGCCATCATTATGCTTTGCAACAATAAGGTTGTGAAGGTCTTGAGAGAGCTCTTTACTTTTACCCATCATCAGATGGTTCTTGTGTGATACCTGGCCATCATTTGGGACTGAACCAGCTGATATTAACTTGCACTGACAAGGGACGGGCTTGCTTTCTAATTACTGAGTTCAGCTGGTGTCTTGGCTTTCCATGCCTTTTTACACCTCCTTTTCTTCATGTGTTCAATACTTTTTCCCTGTGTCATTCCACATTATTACAAATAACTTCATTTCTGGACATTTGTGGTTTGATTTCTTTGTATGTATGGATCACTTGGGTTGTTAGCGACATCTGGTGAAAATTTCATGTCATTAGCACCTCTAGTCATATATTTACTGAGAAAAATGTTGACGTGTTCAATACTTATTTTACCTGCTTTATGTGTATGTTCTACAACCTAGGTCATTACTAACTTGGTGAAGATGGTAAAAGCTCGCGACATCAGACGACCYTTCTGTCCTGCAGGTCACTGGCTCTCTGAGGAGGTCAACATTCGAGCTGATAAGGTGTTTAACTAGCTTTTTTAAAATTTTATTTACTTTTGCTTTTAATTTCTTATTAAATTGTAACTTCTTGAAGTGAATATACAATCTGAGTTACATATACAAGACTTGTCATTTTGAAAAATGATGGTGACCTTGTTTTTTTAAAAGCTTTTTTATGGTAAATAAATAATTATTTTAGTATTTATATGAAATGTTTAGAACTTTATTAATCCTAAAACCTTTGTATTCCTACCTGGAAAATCTTCAGCTGCTTCAGTTACTTTCCTGTGTTCTCTCCAGGTCACCCAACTGTATGTACCTTCAGCGAGACATGCGTGGAGAACACGAAGGATGGGTCACATTGGGCCTCTTCAGTCAACTCTTGATGGTATTGTAGCCCATCTGAATGGTTCTTTTTGCTTATGCATAAATGGAATTCTTGTCCAATATGTGTATTTTTTTTCAGGACATGAATTGCTCAAAAATATTTTTATTGTAATTGTGCAAAAATGAGCACATTTGCATCCGTGGGGTCTCCTATTCAAAGATTTATTTGTAAAATAACCTTACATAGAAGAACAAACAAACTTAAACAGGAGTAATTGACCTTGTTTTCAGCAAGACCACTTAAACACGTTTTGTATGCACTGGCTCAATTAGGCACACTCGGATAAAAACACTGATGCATTCAGGCCCACTTTGAGTCATTAACATGTCCGTGACGTATGGCGTGAAAAAGAACTGATAACAATGTGTGTATGATCTCCCTAATGCCGCTCAGGGGCTGGATGGGATAAATTCAATTAGTGTGAGAGTACCTGATGAACTCAGCCACATCTGGTCCATGTGTTTGTCTGGCCTTTTCTCATTTCCTTAAATGGACAAGCTCAAGGCTGATAAATGAGACACGTATTGACCACTCCGAGGCCATATTTCTCCTCAAAGATGGAAACCTGATGGGAAAATGCAGATCAGGTTGACTAATTGAGCAGAATAATTGAGCTGCAGTTGAATGGAAAAAAGTGAAGAGCAGGATAGTGATTGTGACTTTGGGAGGGCTTAATGGTCCAAACCTTGGGTTTAAGCAAACATTAGCCCTTTGGATAAATCTCAGTAAGTGGATAGGCAGCTCACAGATGAGTTAATTAAAAGAGTGTTATTAAAAGGCTTTTGGATGGATATGCCATTAATGGTCGGTCTGTAAACAGTAAAATAACTCTTAATCACAGTTCTTAACAACGAGGAAGGGTGATGATGAAAGACGAGTGTTTCTAAAAATGACAGCTGATGTTGAAACTTTTTTTATTGTGCTGAGCCCTATAAACAAGTATAAATTTGAAGCAGTTGCTGTAGTTATTTTGTGAATTTGTAGATGATTCAGTTCTAAAGAATGGCAAATATATTGCCAGTTCTCTAGAAAAGGATTACGAACAAGATAAGCTGGATGTTTGGTGGCTTTTAGCATTTTAGGAGCTGTAATTGTCAAGCTGCCAGTGCATGTTTATAACAACACTCGGTGCAAAATAGCTTCAGTCACGTATGAATGAAATTATACTTCAATGATTTTCTTTTCTCCTAAAGGCCCTGTCACACTATAACAGTTTAGACAACTTATGCCAACTTAAGAAATGTTTTTTTCCATTAAATTACTAATAAAAGTTAGATATTTGATCAATTTGTTAGCATTGCAGTATGTACTGTACATGCCAAAAATAAGCTTCCAGTTGATTTTTTTAAATTCCATCTTTAATGTCGATTTCTCCAAACGTTTCACAAGTTGGCATAAGTTGTGTAAAACATCATAGTGTGACAGGACCTTAATTTGGATGAAACTTCAAATTTTTTTGCAAATTCTGGTTTTAAGAGTCAGAAGACAATGACTGAAACAGATCAAATTTTGTGCTTAAATACAAAAATAAGCTCTTAAAATAAACAACCACTAGATTACAAGTACAGTTGTTAAAAAAAGATTTGTAAAAACTACCTTGTAAATGTTTTTAATCAATACATTTATTATTAAAGTGTTTTACTATCTCCAGTAAGACARTGCTAAAATACTAGACGTGTTTATTTCTGCAGTGGGATTAGAGCCTCCACAGCTGTCTGTGTCTGAAGAGAGACATCTGGCCATTCTCACAGAGCTCCCGTTTGTCGTTCCCTTCGAGGAGAGAGTGAAGGTATCGCACTGCTGCTCCACACACAGCTACCACAATAAATGTACTGGAATCATGTGTTTCAAGGAAGGATATTACAGTTTAATTTAATGCATACTTTAAATATGTGCTAAAGGTGAAAGCTTGTATGAATTAGTCATTATTTTGAAGGTGTATTTTATAGTTGATATAGTACTCTTTACTCCATGAGTGAGGTGTTTAATTTATGTGCTGTACAGTCATTTAAAATCTAATTTGTCTGAGCATTTTGAATTTTAACATTACCAAAATATGTGTCRGTACAAATTTAGTTGCCACCTCTTCTTTTTCTTTCTCCCTAAAAATCAAAATAAATCGGTGTAAGATAAAATCCATATATAAGAACATACATTAATTTTTAAGCATAAGGATAATTTATGACTCTGTCATTGGGTTCACATTCACCCTCTAGATCTTCCAGAGGTTAATCTTTGTTGACAAACGGGATGTGCAAGGCGACGGGCCGTTCTCTGATGGCATCAATGTCACCATCCGACGCAACTACATTTATGAAGACGCCTATGACGAACTCTCTCTTGAAAACGGTAACACTGGCATCTCTGCATTTTCTACAAGAGCGTAGTTGTTGCATGTTGTGAGTTATATTTGTGAAACCAGCCCACATCGCATCAGGTTGTCTGGAAAACGGGCTGCAGCTTCYGTGTTATTGTCTGCATTTATTTTGAAATGACACAAAAAGAGAGAGAGGCTCGGTGTAGTAAATATTACYAAAACTTATTATGCTCTATAAAACCTCAGTTATGAAGAGCGAGGTTCCAGTTTGCATTAAAGCTGAAGGCTACTTCTCTCCTTGGGCAGACTATTGAATTTCAGTAAAGCATAATTGTGATTCTGATTATTGTAATGGATCACATAAAAACAGAATCAATTATTTTAAGTCACCTCTTTTGTGTTTGAATTTGAAAGGGTGCTTGGGCGGGTGGGGGTGGGGGGCAATCTGATTAAAAAGAGTAACAGCAGACCTAAGCTGAAGACGTGATCTATATCATTTATATTTCTATAAGTTATAGCTGCCTTGATTTATGCCTGAATATTTATTATTCTGAAAGATGACATGCTGTAGAATTTGAATTGAATAGTCTGCAGGTCAAGAAAGCGCTTTTTTGCAAATTATGTTTGTTAGGGAAAAAATGCTTTGCACTTACTAGAACAAATTTATGTTTACATTTTTTAGATAATATTTATTTTTTTAAGTAGGCTGTTGATTTTAGCGCTAGTTGTATAAGCAGAAATTTTGAAACGAGGTAATGTTACAATGTGTTTTTAATTAGGTGATTGATGCAAAATCTTCATTTTAATACTATTGTAGCTTTGGCTTTTAAAAGACAGGGTAGCAAATTTAATTTACATCTGTGTTTTTGTTGCCTGGTCCTTTTTTTTTTTTTTTGGCCGAACTAATTTTTAAGAGTGAATTGATAGTTTTAATAAACTTTGAGTCTCACTTGTAAAAGATTATGGAATTCAAGTGGATGTCCTGCTTGGATTAAAATGGACTGAAATTCATTCATTCATTCATTCATTCATTCATTCATTCATTTTATCATGTAAATGGCACTGCATATAATACACAATAACACTAACATAACTGAATAACACAATAAAGCATAAAGCTTATTTCCATTGTGGTCCAACAACTGGTGTTTAAGGTGCTCTAGAGTTTTTCTTAAATTAACACCAAAGCCTATTTATTAAATAAAATAGTTTTTCTTTTATTGTCTTATCACAAGCACAAAGGGCAAAATATTTTAAAAAGAACATGACYACTGTTTTTACAGAAATTTTACTCTGAAATAAATTTAGCCCACAAATATACCAGAATAACAAAATCAAAAAGTTTTCTCTTAGTTTTTAAATGGATATGTGTCTCAAACACACTGCAGTTGTAATAATAAATGTATTATTTTATTGAGTCAAAAACAGCTGCTTTGTCATTGAAACGTCGAGTTATTCTCTTGTTAAATCCATTTAAGGGGGAAAATATTTTTGTAACCAATATAAACTAAAAATATAAGCTTGACTCAACTAATGTCAGTGCTGACAGATGTTGTGGAATAAATGTAAAATATCTGTAAAATCTTTCTCAATGAAAATAAACAAATATTGTGTTTATTAACATGGCTGGATATAAATTTCCCCCCTTTTTGTTAATGTGTTCTTATGACCCGTGTGTCTTTAAACTAGAGCCGGACCTAAAGAAAAAGATCAGAGTCCATCTTCTCAATGCTCACGGCCTGGACGAGGCAGGCATCGACGGCGGTGGCATCTTTCGTGAGTTCCTTAACGAGCTCCTCAAGTCGGGCTTCAATCCCAACCAGGGCTTCTTCAAGACCACCAACGAGGGTTTGTTGTATCCCAACCCCGCTGCAGAGATGCTCGTGGGAGAGTCCTTCACAAGACACAACTACTTCCTGGGCAGGATCCTTGGAAAAGTGAGCTTCCAAATGTCCTTACATAAGCATCAGATGTATGAAAGTAATGTTACTGACAAAAGGTGTTCTCTCTGTTTCATTTAGAAAAGAAACTCCTGTTAATTTCTCAGTTTAATTTTAGCTTTTGCTCTCCTTTTGCAATGAGGGGACTACTTGTTTATCTGCTCCTTCGTTTTTTGATGGCGCTATTTATTAGAGCGTAATGTTTCTAAATCATCCTTAATGCATGTGCTGGTGATTGTTTATCAAGATGCCTTCTTCAGTCAGGGCACATCATCTCATCCTGGAAAAGAATTACCTCATGACAAGCGAGTTGCCTCTCAATTAGGGCTTCCATTAGCGGATGATTCCTACCTCTTGTTTCTGTAGCGATTGCATTTGGCTGGCATTAAATCAGCAGGCACACAAAGACAGGACATAAATAAGCGTTCAAAGCATGTGGTAATAGCATTTTGATCTGTTTTACAGTCAGGAACATCCAGGGTTCTTCTCTCGTCCACAACTCCACATATTCTAAACTTCAGAGCGGCACAACTTTTCTTCTGGTTGCATTTGCTTTTTTTTCTCCTCTGTATTCTGTGCAAGTTAGAAGTGATCAATCAGCTGCTACAATTTGCCCGTTCCTGCTACTGTGGTGCTCTTCATAGCTAATGGTGCGGGCAATTAGGCAAAGGCAAATTAATTAGAAGTTGACTTTCAATTAACCCTACCTTAGGTTCCTCCTTCTCCATTAAAAACGGACGTTTGAGTGGCCATTTGAGAGGCGTATTGATATTTGTTTAGTGCCGTTATGGCCTGGATAAAAGGCAACCGTTTTATATGGCTCTGGATTGCATCACCGCTGCTGCAGTGTGCACCGAGCACGCCGCAGCTCAAAGGACACAGGAGATTAATATTGTTAATTAATGTCCGAGGCGTGCCATTGTTGTGGAGGTGATGTATTACAGCCAGCAGAGGCTTGTCTGGAGTACTCACTGAAATGGGATTGAACATCAGAATAGAGGCCAGTCATCATCCCTCTTCCTCGCTTGTCCACCCCGCTGACAAGCTGGAAGATTTAAGCTACAAATGAGGAAACATGAAAAGAGGTTACTTTGCATTTGTGACTTCAGCCTGAAAATTAAAAAAGATATCTTGATCRTGATGTTTGTCAGCATTCTCTCTCTCATTTCACATTTATGCATTATGACACGTGAGAGATGATCTTTGGGGTTCATTCATCTCGTTAGCGCAAAACCTCCAGCCTCATTAGCGACAGGCTTCTCACTTTGTAAACTGTGGAGGGGGGGAAAAGCTTTCATCCTCCTTCACCGTCAGCCTCCTCTCAATGATCTYGCTTTAGGGGTGCGAGAGTGTCGCACCCCTGATTGATCGAGATGCGTTTGGAAGGCATTATAATTTTATTGATTCTTAATGTTGTAAATTAAGGAATTTATTTGGCAGCTAACAGAATGCACCTGCAGTGCTGTTGGCATTTATTCCACCTGATGGTGCCGCGATCTGCTTTAATTGCGTTGCCACTGCACTCACTTATATTAAAAGGCCTGGGCCATAACAATTAATTCTTTCCAAGCCAAGTCATTTTGGCACAATTTCTGGCAATAAACACTCATAAATTAGGCGAGTGGCACTGAAAAAAATAAGGCTACAAGTTTTTTCCATATACTTATTACTGCCTCTTCCCGGCACAAGTGTTATTGATAGGTTTCAAGGGGCCATGCAGCGCATATGGTCTAAAATGAGCACCGGCCACAAGAGTAATGCTAAGTGGATTATTTTGCATAAAAAATAGACAATGTTTGAAGTTGTGCAATTAACCTGTGTTTAGAAAATAGCTGTGATTTATGCATTTGTGTGTGTTTTAAGATGCATGCATTATGGAAATCCTTTAGATTTATAATCCATTTAGCTGATGCGGTCAGGGTTTTTAGCGCTATCATTTATAAAGACCTGTATATTTTAATGTCTCCAATAGGCTCTTTTTTTGGACTATTCCAGTACATTAGCTTAGGGTTTTATGAGCCACCTGCCCGGCTGTGGTTCTTAATTGCATTAAAGGTCAAGGTGAGAGTCGGCATTTATAAAGTTTGAATCGGGTAAAGAAGGAAGAGCCTGCATGCTTTAAGATTGATTATGCTCTGTGTTTTCATCTCAGTCACTCTGAAGTGATTAGATTTACTGACATAATGCTCGATTCTTTGATGTGAACCATAATAATGTTTTGTACTCTTCTATTTTTACATATTTGTATTATCATTTCTCCCAATATTTAATGTACTGTTTCCTATTATGTTTTATTCAGTGATACTTTAGTGCTGAACATTGAGTTTGTTAAAGCTTAAAACGGGGAATTCCAAAGATAAGATGTTCTACCTGCTTATTTTTCAGCTTTCTCTTGGCTGACGTCCACTTTTCTCCACAGGCGCTGTATGAGAACATGCTGGTGGAGTTGCCTTTTGCCAGTTTTTTCTTATCCAAACTTCTGGGAACCAGTGCAGATGTAGACATTCACCACCTGGCTTCTTTGGACCCTGAGATGTATCGCAACCTTCTCTTCCTCAAAAGCTACGAGGGTGACGTGGAAGAGCTCGGCCTCAACTTCACCGTGGTCAACAATGACCTCGGAGAAGCTCAGGTGACTGGACTGAATTGCGTGTTTATTTTCCACCTCTGTTTCTGCTGCCGACAGCGCCGCAGGATCTGTCTCTCCTCCCTCCGGTTTCCTGTTTGGTTTCTCTTTGTGGCGTTAATAATTCATTTCCTCTCCTGATGCACCACTTTTCAGCTCCGCTAGAGATAAAGCACGTCACCTCTGTCAGTCTAAGCCACGCTATAGGGCAGGGGACTCGGCTGCACTGTTGACCATTCCACCTGCCTTTCCTCCCACAAATTATCTCACAGCACGCCTGACGGGAGCAGGCAACAGTTTTCAAGCATGCCCCTCCACCCCTCTTTTTTCACTCCAAAGCTCAAGGCTGAAGAGACGATCTACCACCACCGCCACTCTGAGTCATCTGTGCTCAGACCTGCACACAGAGCCCCTGTTTGCTCAGGGCCTTAACGCGTCTTATTAACTCTTCTCAAACAACACCTGAAACAGCAGAGTTACGACGTGGCCCTCATGATCGCAAACAGGGCATCGCAAACGCGATAGGGGAAAACAATTTGTGAAAGATTAGGCACACACCCRGGAGCAGTCTGCCCTGCATTTGCCCTTGTGAGATAGCCAAAGCAAGCGAGATAACCACAGTAATTCTCTTACATTAGCACATAATCAGAATCCACTGTGGAGGAGAAAAGGGCCAAAAATGGTTTCCTGAATGTGAGGCCATTCTGGGAATAAATATAATACCTTGCATTACAGTGCAGTCTGATGTCAATATTGTTGCACTAAATGGTTTTGTGACGCTTATCGGTCGAGTTTCGTAAGAATTTTGTCAGAGAGTTGCTGCGTTATGCTTGCTGCAGTTTGAGTTGACAGATTCAGTTGAGATTTTTTGCCCTCTAAGTTTTAAAGGTTATTTAATTTCTATAGCAAGTTTTTTAATACTTTAATAAAGCAAGATATAAAAGGTGAACAAAATCTTAAAGTCACTAGGTCYGAGTTGTAAAAGTCAGTCACCAATTTTTCAAAACATTGGGATCATACCCACCAAATACATATAGGTGCATTAGGAAGAGATGAACGTGATATTTTGTCCTCTTGTCCATGAAATCATACACACAGCTTTATGAGCACATCGTATCAAGTCCTAACTGCTCTAAAGCTAATGAAAAAAGAACCTTGGGCCAAATGATATTGGACCAGATGTCCAGTGATGCTATATTTAGTAACACTAAAATGCACCGAACCACTCACTCTCTTGAATTTCTCACCTTTAATCAGAGGAACATTGTTGGAAAAACATTTTAATTGGTTTTATCTGATTGAATTAAACTCACCTGGCTCGGTTTAACAACTGAGGGTGTTTGTTGGTCATCTGGCACCTGAATATGTATTAAAGWATGCTGTGCAATTATCTGATGATGACATCGTCACACTACAAAAGCAAATTTAAAGTGCTATTAAAATGACTTTGGTCTTTTATTTTTTTTTCTATCCAGGTGGTTGAACTGAAGCCAGGAGGCAAAGATATTCCTGTGACAACAGCAAATCGGATAGCTTACATCCATTTAGTGGCCGACTACAGGCTCAACAAGCAGATCAGGCCTCACTGTCTGGCCTTCAGGCAGGGTCTCGCTAATGTGGTCAACCTTGAGTGGCTGCGTATGTTTGACCAGCAGGAGATGCAGGTATCAACTTGCTGATGAGCAAAACTGAGAAGTGAAACTATTTTTAACTTACAAAAAAGTAAGAATGTGCTTTTTTTTTCCTTCATGAAAGGTGCTTATATCTGGCGCGCATGTACCAATTTGTCTTGATGACCTTAAAAACTTCACAAACTATTCAGGTAAGTTAGACATCTCAGATTTTGTTTGCAGCATGGGGTGTTTGTGTTTCAAAACTTTGAGAGGAGTTTAAAAGATTGTAAGATTTTTTGCAGTGCAGTTCTTTGGGAAGGTTATAAACAATCAATATCTTACCTGTTGTAGATAGCTTTTTGAATTACCCAAGTTTGGTGAAATTGTTTCATTATGAACATATAGATTTGAGCTAGGCCAAGAACAAAGTGGTTTGCTGCTTTCTTGAGATGAATCTAATCTCCAGTATTTTATAAGGGTTTGTTTAAATATGTTTTTAAGAAACCTTATAGTTTTATATTTACAAATAACCAAAGAATTCTAGTTAAGGAACCATGTACTGCAAAATTGGCAGTCGGATCAGGGTTTGTAAAATAGTGTTTGCGTGAAACACTCTGAAATAGTTCAGATTGGAGCTGTTTTAAAATAGTTCACTTTAGTTTTAGGACTAGCCATTTGCTTGTTAAAACTGGTCAGAATTAAAATGTTTCTCTAAACTGAGGTTATTCAAAGAACTATATACAACAGTTAAGATCATCATAACCTTTCCACAGAACCCAACTTCAAAACATCTGAAATATCTCATTAACCTCCTGTTAGTTATCAAACATTTATTCAATTAAAATGAGCATCGTCTCATATATTTGTATATTTTGTATATTTATCCACCTATATTTTAAGTTTACTTTACACTATTCTACTTGTATTCTATTTTATCCATTGTATCTGTATTTGTAAATTGCTTATGGGTGTAACTGGACCGTGAGAGAAGAAATTCCGTTCCAGCCCACGTACCACATGTGATGTGAATGACAATAAAGTCTCCTTGAATCATGTACAGTATCCATTTTTATTTTCTGCTGTCACTTCCTTTAGGTGGGTACACTGCCAATCACCCTGTSATCCAGATCTTTTGGGAGGTAGTCGAAGGATTCACAGATGAAGAAAAACGCAAACTGCTGAAGTTCGTCACCAGTTGCTCCCGGCCACCCCTGCTGGGCTTTAAGGTGACTTTTCCCCTCCCTCCATCTTTCCTCCTCCTGGTATCTGCAGTTCCCATCTGGTTTTCCAGACGTAACAGAAGGTTCACCTCTTAATGAGCTTCTAATGAGAACACTCAGACTGATAACAACCCTCAGAATTATCATTTTCCTATTAGGTTTGTTCAGAGAAGTGCATTGTGGTGAACTCTTATCTCCACGTCTACCATTGTTTTATAGTTCATGACCTTCCTCTGTTGAAGAAGTCTGTCTGCAGCTCTCTCTCTGTGTGTGTGTGTGTGTGTGTATGTGTGTGTGTGTGTGTCTGGGCTTGACTAGAGGCCTCGGCTGGACAAATATTGCCATTCAAAACTTGCTAGAAGGTTGAACTTTTTACCTTTTTTTTTCTCTTTTGTGTCACAGAGCAGATAACCACAATATCTTAGGAGATGAATATACCAGAAAACTACGCCTGTCTGCTTATTTTAAATGTTGAATCCTGCTGGCAAAGTATTCCTGAAACGATGTTCTAATTAGAAGCCGTTTCACTTCCTCACTGACTTGATTTGTGGGACACTTAAGAAGTTATAGAGAAACGGAGGAAAGTGATACTCAGGAGCATTAAAGAGTTTTTATGCCACACTTTGTCTGACCAGAACCTGTAATCATAATATGATTGTTTAAGTATTATTCTTACTGTCATTACTCTGTAAGTTATTGCTGTTCCAAAGTAGTAAGTGAAAAACAGTCCTGTAAAATTCTTCTGCAGTATTTTGTCTCAGGCTTTAAATAATCCCTTCCCTCGGTGTATAATCAATTTGACTTTGGCCAGTGTGCGGGGAGACCACCCCTCCCACATTCTGTGGGACTTAAAGCGTGGTAATTTGTGGGGGAGCGGCCCCTGACCTGGCCCTCAGCTTGAGCCAGCTAAGCCTTAATTAGCTGTCGTGAAACGGCCCAGGATTCATTAGAGAAGAAATAGCTCTGTCAGAGGAAGCCATTTAAAAAAGATGATGGAAGCTGCCTTTTTTTTAAAATGATCGTAGTGGTAATGATACTTTCTCAATAAGCAACGATAGTTTAATACGGTAATTGTCAGAAAAATGGGGTCATTATGGCTTAGCCCCCAAAGAGCCATTTAATTGTGCAAGTATTGCCAATGAGACATATACGCTACCGTTAAATAGCAGGATGAAATCAGGGGGGAGTAGTTTGTTCGTGATGGAAACAGTCAGTGTCATAGTTTGCAGACAAAGTAGTCTCATCAACTCTACGGTTTGATTAAAAAAAAAATCCAGATAGACAACATGAAGTGACCAATCCATCCAGCGTCTCATCCAAGGGTCAAACTCTGAGCCCGTCTTCTCYTCAAAACCTTTCAAGTTCTAATCTGATTTCCTAAATTTATCCTTCGTCTGTATTATCTTTGCACTTTTAACATTTATCCCCATGTGGAAGTTGACATTTATTGCTAAATCTAGGATTGGTTTGGAAATTGGGATCATTGATATTGTTGTCTGGCTTTAATCACCCCGGGATGTTCCACTCCCTCTCTCTGCTAATTAACACCTTCCGTCTTCTTAACAGGAGCTCTACCCGGCCTTCTGCATCCACAATGGTGGAAACGATCTGGACCGTCTGCCCACCGCCAGCACCTGCATGAACCTACTCAAGCTGCCAGAGTTCTGCGACCAGCACCTGATGAGGAGCAAGCTGCTGTATGCCATCGAGTCTTCTGCAGGGTTCGAGCTGAGCTGAGCTGCATCAACATCCTCCGTGCCGCTCAGGTGGCTTTTGAAGTAAAAGACTCACAAAGAGGAGCGATGGCGAACAATGCACTGACTGAATTAGTTGTGTTTCTGTGTGTGTGTGTGTGCGCACGCCAAGTAGAGGTTGAGCAGATATTCATAGACAGAGGAAAGCGGTGCAAGAGTAAATATAAGTTGGATTTTAAAAAGAAAAATCCATGTAACGTTTTAGTAATTGATTTTTTTAATCACTTTGGAAGAACAGAGATGCGGCTGAATTTTCAAGGACGTTTTAGGAGCTGAAAGAAAATAAAAGCAGCAGCTACTCTATCAGCTGGCATTAAAGGACAAGTGTAGATTTTTTTTGAAGTTGAGTTGCTTTGAAAGATTACGAACAATTAATATCTTATGCATTGTCAATAGCTCTTTGAATTATTTATTTTATAAACCTTTAAATCACTGTCAGTTTTGCATTACACCAATATTTACATAGAATCATATGATTGTCATTCTGTGGATTATGTTCTAGCAACTACCAGTGCAAATTGGTGCACTACCAGCATGAATATTATATTTCTGCCAGGCATAAAAAGTGTGTAGTGCTAAACTGATAGCAGCGTAAAGGTTTTTAAATTGTTCTTACTGCTATCAAACTTTTGAGAGTGGAGTTATTTTCAGACATCAACGCACTTTGGTTTGGCTAGCTGTTAGACTGGCTATCTGGTCACATTTAAACTAATCAAAWAACAGGTAAGATATTACTTGTTCATAACCTTTCCACAGAACCCTACTTTAAGAGTTTGAACTATCTCTTTAATGGACAGTTGTTTGTCACCAAAGATAACCTGGCATGAAAAAAAAAAGGCAATACAAGGGGACGAACTGTTAGACTCTAAAGCCACCACTTGGTGTGGGCTGCAGAGGCGGAAAAATGTTTTAATGCCGTTAATTATATAATGTAGACGTCATCGAAACTTCAKTTATGATTTCCTAAACGCCAACCAGTAATAACTTGCATCTGTTTGCCAAACTAAGTGTTAACCGTTCTGAAGCTGAGGGAAAAACTGGTCTTGCTGGATTAAATCGGGAGAAAGTAATWACATAATAATGGTTTTGTGAATATGTATTTGTTTTAAAACTGCTTGTGTATGATCCATGTATTTGTAACTTGTACAGGTTTGTTTATCTTTCTTTTTTTTTGTAACWAATGGGAGACTTTTGTTTCCTTTCATACATACTCTAAGGTTAACAATCTCCTTACCTGATCAACACACAAAGGTTTGTGTCGAACCAATAACCAGTATACCAACAAGTTGAAAACATGAAAACAGTGTTTCAGAGATGAATAAAACCATTTTTTGCATTTTCCTTCCATTAGCTTTCTACTTTCCTTGTTGCTTGTAATTTACAGTAATGACCAAGACATAAAACAGTGCTTTGTGGGGGGAAATCTTCGCTCGAGTTTTACGGCCTCTGACATATAATTAAAGAAACATCCAGTTAAGAAACACTGAGCAGAAACTGTTCTGGCCTTGAGATGCATTATCGGGTTGAGCACAAATTAAGACTGTGTGCGTTTGTCATAAATCCACCTGCCCTCTGATGCAGYGCAGCCCCCAGGAAGCTTTCCATCCCTCTTTGGACCCGATCCATCTCTCCGTCCTCTCTCCTGGGCGAAAACGACCAGCCTCCTCACTCATGTCGTCGCAGGAACCCCGCAGCATCAGCTGGGCCAGAGAACTCATAGTGGTAATTGGGTCTTAAAAACCAGACTTGTCATTGAAATGAGGGATTCATCTCAATTACGATGAGATTTATTTAAGACTATTACTTTGTGATGGATTGTAACTGACAACGTTAATGCRGCGTGTTATGAATCATCTCCAGTGTGCGCTATACACTTTAGGTCGCTCAAAGGAATTTTAAGGGATAATTGAAGTTTTTATGCTTGTTTGTCTTTCTGCAGACGAAAACATCAGTAAGCACTTCAGAGTAATTGGAGATTGTCCCCCGCTCTCCAAATCATTATATCTGCCTGTGTGCAACTGCAAATTTAGCATCAAACTAAATGGTTGACATGGCTTTTGATGGGACTATTATCAGGTAATCAGAACTGGACTTTATTTCAGTGGTCAGTTACAGAAATAAAAACTTGCTCAAGATTTTGAAACACTTTGTTCACCTTTTGTTGTAATACAGTGCCATCTGGTGGCAGCTTTTGGTACATGACCTTACATTTGGATCATTTTCAGACTTTCAAAGACAAGTCATGTACAATCAAGTGTCCCCATTTGTGTTACTGAATCTAATGTATAAAACCATGTCACAAATCTTAGTATCTGATTTTCTCGAGGCCTTTCGTAAACACTGAACAGCAAAACAGAAATTCTCCAATCTGTGTTCAATTGTATGCTGAACTGGAGAGATGAACAAAATATCTTTCACRTTTTGTATAAATAATTCAGAACAGAAGAACAATTTTGCTGCAGATTTTTCCAACATTTTTGCCTGTTAAGACAAATGCATTGGCCAGCCTTATGTCCCTCTGTTCAAAAATATTGCTGGTTGTCCACAGTTCACACTGTATTCAATGTATTTATAGCTTATTGTCATGAGTTAGTGGTAAAATGTGTTTTGCAGCTGTAACAATCAGATAAAGACACAAAGGTCTGTGCTATTACATTTAGAGAGAGCCATTTACTGCTTGAGTGTGTATTGACCTGGTAGGTGATACTGTGAATCCTGCTCATTGAGTCTAATTTCATCATGAATGACCGGAATGCCCTGTTATAATAACAGATATGTGTCATTTTCTCTGGGACTTTTGTAGCTGGCATGAGCTTCAGCTAGGCCTAAGTGCCAAAACGACCTTGATTTTCCTTTAAACGTCAGTGTAAGTCTGTCATTTCAGACACGGAGCAGTGTTTTGCATCAGTGCTTGTCTTTTCAAAATTCCTCGTTTCTGTGGATATGACCTTATTGAAATATTGCCTATGTAATCAAATGGTTTTGTATAATCTGATTGTACATAGGTACTATATACAGTGGTTTGCAAAAGTATTCACACCCCTTGAACTTTTCCATATTTTGTCAC